GCCTCCAGCCCGCCGCTGGGAACCGGCGGTATTTTTGGAACATGATCTTGTACAAACATCGCTCCCTGGCCAAACATGGGCTGGACAATTTTCCTGCCGTTTCCCTCCTTTCCCCCCTCTTCCCCTCCCTTTTTTCTCTCCCCGTCTGATCTCCCCACCACCCGCTCCCTGCAGCCCTCTCCTCCTCCTCTCCTCCTCCTCCTCCTCGGTTTAAATTCCCCAGCAATTACTCCCGCCTGGACCCGTCACTGCCAAAATTCTCTTTCCCTTAAAGGGACTGGTGCGAGTCCAGGGTGATCCCATCCCGTCTCCCGGCCTGCGGGATGCCCCACGAGCTCTCCTCTTCCCCGTGCCTCAGTTTCCCCTGAGAGCTCCTGGAGAGGCGCTGGGGAGCAGGGGATGGATCCTGGCTCCGGCTGGGATGGCCCAGCTCAGCTCCTGGCGGGATCAGGAGCAGGAGAACAGGGAGAGCGGAATGTGGGCAGCCCTTGTGCCAGGCAGGAGTCCCGTACCCGGCCCCAGGGGCTCCTGCCAGGATGCTGCACGCTGGAAATGATCCGGGACCAGCTTCTTCCTGCACCCCAGCATCCTCCAGGGCTCCAGCATCATCCCAAACTCCAGCATTATCCTGGATTCCGGGACATTCCCAGCTCCAGCATCATCCCAGGCTCCAGTATAATCCCACACTTCGTCATCCCAGGCTCCAGAACATTCCAAGCTCCAGTATCTTTTGAGGATCCAGCATCCTCCCAGGCTGCAGCACATTCCGAGATCCAGCATCATCATCATCATCCTGGGCTCCAGCAACATCCCAAGTTCCAGTATCATCCTGGGCTCCAGCACGACCCCAGGCTCCAGGATCCTGCTGGGTCCCTGCAATCCTCCCAGGCTCCAGGTTCCAGCATCCTCCTGGGTCCCTGCAATCCTCCCAGGCTCCAGGATCCTCCGGGGTCCCTGCAATCCTCCCAGGCTCCAGGTTTCAGGATCCTGCTGGGTCCCTGCAATCCTCCCAGGCTCCAGGCTCCAGGATCCTGCTGGGTCCCTGCAATCCTCCCAGGCTCCAGGATCCTCCGGGGTCCCTGCAATCCTCCCAGGCTCCAGGATCATCCTGGGTCCCTGCAATCCTCCCAGGCTCCAGGATCCTCCTGGGTCCCTGCAATCCTCCCAGGCTCCAGGATCCTCCGGGGTCCCTGCAATCCTCCCAGGCTCCAGGATCCTCCTGGGTCCCTGCAATCCTCCCAGGCTCCAGGATCCTCCTGGGCTCCAGCCCCTTCCCAGGCTGCTCTTGCTCCCCGATCTCCTTTCTCCAGCAGCCGAGAACAGAGCGCTCCAGTCCTTGCCCAGGCTGCAGGAGCCACCTTCTCTGAGCCCCGGCTGCACGTGCAGGAGGTGTCCCAGGTGTCCCCTCTCCAGGACATCCCAGCACAGCCAGTCCCACGGGGGCTCGCCTGGGAGGAGGCTGGAATTATGGAATTGCAGCTGGGATGACTCTGCCCTGGCCAGAGGCCCAGGGACCCTCCAGGTGCAGCTCAAGTCTGGTTTTGATTGATCACAGAAACCTCAGCGCTGTTTGCAGAGGGCCAAGGGGGCTGAGCCGCTCTTCCCTGCTTGCCCACAGCTCCCGGCCGTGCTCCCCATCCCGGCTGCTCCGGCCCTGCTGGGCTCAGGGAGCACCGAGTTCCTTGGGAAAGCTCCCTGAGCCAAGTCCCAGAGCTCAGCTCCCAGCCCGGCCATCTGCTCAGGCAGCTCCCACACGGCCTGAGCTCCTCGGGACGCTCCCGGAGCCCGGATGCGATGGGGAGGACAGGGATGGAAGGCACCAGGAGCTGCTCCGGGGAGGATTTGCTGATGGGATTTGCAGCTGCTGGAGCTGCCAGGGCCTCCCCAGCTGCTGGATCCCAGCGCTGAGGCTTTGGGGAGCACAGCTCGGGCACTGCATCCCAGCACCGGCAGCCAGGAGCTCAGGGATGAGCCTCTGGCCCCGGCTGCTCTCTGGAAAAGCATCCCTGGGGGCCGGGAGGCAGGGCAGGCCCTGGGGACAGGGACAGGGCTTGGGTCACTACAAAGGTGACAGGGTTTGCTCAGTCCAGCCACACCTGGCAGAGGGAAAGGGGAAAGGGGAAAGGGGAAAGGGGAAAGGGGGAGAAGGGTGAAGGGGAGAAGGGGAAAAGGGGAAAAGGGGAAAAGGGGAGAAGGGGAGAAGGGGAGAAGGGGAGAAGGCTTCTCTGCAGGGAGCAGGGCAGGGAAGTGCCCACGGGCAGCCTGTTCCTCCCCTCCCCTCCTGCTCCAGGGCAGGGCCGGGACCTCCCCGCGGTGCCCGGGAGGGGCCGAGGATGGAAGAACCACCCTGGAGCCAGAGCTGCACCCCGGCTCGGCAGGGAGGAGGGAGGGAGGGAATGGCCACCCCCGGGACATTCCGGGGCTGCTGCACGGACCTGATGGATCCTGCCCATGGATCCTGCCCATGGATCCTGCCCATGGATCCTGCTCATGGATCCTGCCCATGGATCCTGCCCGTGGATCCTGCTCGTGGATCCCGTCCATGGATCCTGCCTGTGGATCCTGCCCATGGATCCTGCTCATGGATCCTGCTCATGGATCCTGCCCATGGATCCTGCCCATGGATCCTGCCCATGGATCCTGCCCATGGATCCTGCTCGTGGATCCTGGAACTCCACACCCTGCTCATGGATCCTGCTCATGGATCCTGCCTGTGGATCCTGCCCATGGATCCTGCTCGTGGATCCTGCTCATGGATCCTGCTCATGGATCCTGCTCATGGATCCTGCTCGTGGATCCTGCCCATGGATCCTGCTCGTGGATCCTGCCCATGGATCCTGCTCATGGATCCTGCAGTTCCACACCTCCATCCTCGTCCCCCCAGGAAGGCTCCAGGCCGAGGAGGGGGCAGGAGGAGGGAGCAGCTCTGTCCTTACCTGTTCCTCCAGGCTGACGGCTCTCCGGGCACGGCCCCCCAGCAGCCAGTGTGGGGTGACCCTCTCGCCGTGGGACAGCGGCCCTGGGGAGAGAGGAGCTGGTGAACAGACCCTGTGAGAGCTGGAGCTCCTCCACAGCCACATCAGAGGGAACTTGGGAAGGGACAGAGCTGAGGACCAACACCCAGAGCCCCCTCTCAGGTGTTCCAGGGATGGACACAGCGCGAAGCCGAAGCCTCACCCCCTCCCCAGCCCAGCCCCTCATCGCTGGCTCAGCCTTAATCCCAGAAGGCTCCCAGGAGAAGAGTGGCTAAATGCCCTAAATCTGCACCCTGGAGATGCAGCAGAGACCTGGCACATGGGAGCTGGGGCTGCCCCTGGATCCCTGCAGTGCCCAAGGCCAGGCTGGACACTGGGGCTGGAGCTGCTGGGACAGGGGGAGCTGTCCCTGCCATGGCTGGGGTGACACTGGGGGGACTCAAGGTGCCCCCAGCCCCAAGTGCTCCGTGACTCTGTGAGCTGTGGGGTGTGTGGCTCCATCACCCCAAATGCAGCCAGGGCTGGGCTGGAGCAGGAGCAGGGGAGCTGGGAGGGCTGTGGCTGGGCAGGGTTGGTCTGGCCCCCCCGGGCAGCGCAGCACAAGCCATTCCTTGGCTCCAGCAGAGGCAGACAGACTTTCTAAGATTATTTTTTTCCTAAACAATGTGGCTGGATTTGACTGCAGCACAGGGAGCAGCCACTGATGACTTAAGCCTGGATGACAACAGAACAAAAAATTAAAATCTGAAGATGCTGCAGAGAGGGGACGAGGCTGAACAAAAATGTCAAGGGTTGGGCTGCTCTGCCAAGCCAAATGCTGTCAGGGAGAGCTTGGATGGAATTATCTTCCCCAGCAAAGTTATTTACTCAGGGAGTGGAAAAAACAGGGCTCAGGGCTTTATATTTTATAGGCTTGTTTTGGTTCCTGGTGCAGCAATCCAGGGCTTTGGCTGGAGGGGAGATGCAGTTGTTGAGAAGACAAAAGGAAAGCAAGGGCTGGGAATTGCTGCTGGAGTTTGATGGGATCAGCTCACCCCGCCCGGCCCCGCTATCGCCCGAGGAATTTAATCAGTTCCATTAAATATAGCACGGAATCAGATTCCAGGAATAACTGCGGATAAGGGGGTGGCACCATCCCAGCGTCCCTCTCCTCACCTCCTCCCAGGGCGGGAGCCAGGCCCTCCACCCCAGCACACCAGCTCATTTCCATGGGGAAACTGAGGCACGGGCTGAGCCGTGCCGGGGGAGCGGCTCCGGCGGGGTTTGGTGCCCCCATTTCCGAGCAAAGGAACAAATCCCACTGCTTTAATTCCCGAGGGTTGGAGGGCAGGGAGCTGCTGCCTGCCCCATCCCAGCTCTCTCCCAGGGCTCTGCTGGGGCTGGGCTTCGGCCACGGCCCAAAATTCCCCCGTCAGGAGATCCAGGAGATGAGATTTAAGTCCCGATATTTTAAATTTCCCACTGTTTTGTTTATAGTTTTTGCTGGGAATCTGACAGACTCGGAGCACGGGGCCTCAAAAGCCTAACTCAAAAGCCTAACTCAAATAAAGCCAAATGCAGCTCAGGAAGGGTTTCCCACACCCCCTGCTCCTGATTTCCTGGAAAAGCTCATTGCCAGCCCTTTTTGGGAATGCTGCGGGGAACGAGGCTGCTCCGGGATGCTGGCACCGGGAGCCCGGGGCTGGGGAGCCCCGGAGGAGCCCCGCAGAGCTCGGGATCCTGGCGGAGCCGGCAGCTTTTCCCTTCTCCTCCTTATCCAAACACAGCTTTGGCTCCCACCGCCCTCCCTGCTCCTCTCCCGGAGCGCTGGGAAACTTCTCTCAGCAGAACAGAACCCGGCAAAGCTCGGAGGGGAAAAAATAATAACAAAAAAATCTGCTTTGGGTAGAGGAACATCAGCCCTGACTTCCTGGGGAAGGAACTCGGGGTGAGGAAGAGGCTGCGGGCGGCCGAAGGGAGAGCGGCACCCCCCTGTCCCCCCCTGGCTCCATCAAAAAGCGCCGGGAGCCCCTGGGGAAAATCAACCCTGCATTTCCTCAGCCGCAGAAACAGCCACGTCCCACCCAGAGCCCGCACGGCAGCGCAGCCCCGAGCCCTTGGATGGGGCTCTGGGGGGCTCCGGGGTGAGAACCGGGCCCGTCCCGGAGCCCGACCCCGGCGGGACCCGCGGAGCGGCTGGGAGAGGGGTCTGGGGGTCCCGGGGGGGTCTGGGGGTCCCG